GCTCACTCATTATTTTTTTCCAATCACCGTGCAATGGATATTACAGGATGCTACGTTTGTGGCACGGAAAACCTACTCGTCAACAATATGTGTTTCCTTTCATAGTACAGAATATAATTGGTGTTTTGAAGTGGTACCCATCAGTCACTCTGTGTGTGCGTGTGCGTGTGCGTGAGCGTGTGCGTGTGTGTTTTGGGTGGGGTAAGAGGCTTGAAACTCAGAATAGAGGGAGCCCTGGCAACTGGGTGTGGTCTCGGGACGAGTTCTGGCCCACGGAGTGAGAGCAGAGTGCGTGCATGCCGCTTCGCACAGAGGGGGTTGGTGTCTGTCCGCCTTGCCCAGGCTCTTCCCACACTCCACAGCGAACTTGGAGGCTGCGTGTTGGATATGGCAGCAGAATGAAATGAAAGGAGCCTGGACCCAAGAACCATTCTTGGAGTACCTCTAACCAGGGATATCCTCACTGTGAATCTCATGAGCAAGAAATAAAACTGTATTATGGTAAGTCGCTACAGTTTGGAGGTTGACACAGCAACTAGCCTACTCTAACACAGGTTCCGTCTTGTTCTTTCATTATTTATTACTGAATACGTAGTACCTGCCAAATGCTGTGGAATATTCCTTCCAGAATGCTGTGAAGATGGGATTCTCCCACTGACTCAGTGATGACTGGTCCTGAATTAACCTTGCCCCACGTGATGGGGTAGAGAACCAAGCCACTTCCCATGCCCCTGGCCGAGTCTCTGCCCCATGCCCAGGGTGTGCTTGTTCCTGTACTGCAGTGGACACTGCCCCGTGCCCAGGGTGTGCTTCTTCCTGTACTGCAGTGGACACTGCCCCGTGCCCAGGGTGTGCTTGTTCCTGTACTGCAGTGGACACTGCCCCGTGCCCAGGGTGTGCTTGTTCCTGTACTGCAGTGGACACTGCCCCGTGCCCAGGGTGTGCTTGTTCCTGTACTGCAGTGGACACTGCCCCGTGCCCAGGGTGTGCTTGTTCCTGTACTGCAGTGGACACTGCCCCGTGCCCAGGGTGTGCTTGTTCCTGTACTGCAGTGGACACTGCGGGCCCAGGATGGTAGCCAATCACCACCATCTCACTTCATGGTAACACTGCAGTTTTGGGTCCGTCAACAAAAGCAAATTAGACGTGATAACCCAGGGCTTCAAGTTCCGATTTTGTACTTGATACACAGCCTGTGTTCTGGAAGCGGCACACAGCACTGAGATGCCTTTGACTGAGGTTAGCTAACTTTAGTGTGATAATCCCATGAAAAGGAAGCATGTTTATAAGGCACTAGCATACACTCTCTAGTCATAGATAGGAGAATTTTCCAGGAAGACTCCTATAAACCCCCGTATCCTCTGAGATGACATGGAGGGACCTGGAGGGCTTTATGTCAAGCAAAATAAGCCCATCAGAGAAAGACAAAGTATCACATGATCTCACTTATTTGTAGAATATAATGCACAAAATAAGCTGATGAACAAAATAGACCCAGAGACATAGAAAGGAGCATGGTTCAGACTGACAAACCTCAGAGGAGGGGGTGGGAGGAAGGAAGAGATAAACCAAAGAACTTATGCATATAAACATAATCAATGGACATAAACAACAATGCTGGGGGGGGGTTGTCAGTGGGGGTAAAAGGAGAAACATCTGCAACAAAAATAAATTAATTAGCCTGGCCGGAGTGGCTCAGTGGTTGAGCATCAGCCCATGCACCAAGAGGCTACCTGCTCAATTCCCAGTCAGGGCACATGCCCAGGTTGTGGGCCAAATCCCCAGTGGGAGGCATGCAGGAGGTGGCCAACTGATGTTCTCTCTCATCGATCTATCTCTCTCTCCCTTCCTCTTTCTCTAAAGATCAATAAAGAAAAAACTTTTTAAATTAATTAATTAATTAAATAAAAATAAATAAATAAAATAACAACAACAAAAATATCTCATGAAACCTAGTCTAGGAGATTGTTTTCAACCCTTTCTCTTAGGCCTCATCTTGACTGTCAAAGGACTTTCTCTCCAATGGCATGAAGAATGAATTTGCACCATTCCTCAAGTATGTTACTCTATCCACTTAAGTGCTGTGTCCTACTAATGGGGTCTAGTTGTGTCTGACCTGAAATAACACACCTTTATTCTTCTTACAAGGTGGATTGGTGTGTGGGGGCAGGGAGGGGTGGGAAGCTTGAGGTTCAGCAATACGCAGCCTCAGATTATAATTATTATGGCATGATGGAGTTCAATTTGCCTTTTAGAAAGCTTGCTTTAATTTCAGGATAAAGGATGGATTGGTAGAGCTGAGACACTGAAACAGAGTCTGGTCCCTGGTCAACCCATGAACAGTGTTTTGCACTAATCTAGGACAAGGTGTGTATTAATGATAGAAATGAAGATAAATATTTTAGAATGATTTTATAGATAAAATCTCTAGGACTTGGTAGAATGCTTTGTTTTTAAATATAAGTTTTATTTTGGGGGTGTGGTGAGACCATAGATCAAGAGATGATTACTACCGATAGCCTGTTACTCGCAGTTTCCAAGAGGAGGGGCGCACTCACACCAGGCAGGGCCACATGGGAAGCGCCAGGCTTCCTCAGGAGTCAGGAGAGTGGGTGCGGCATGGACAGGAGCCTTTACTGTGGCTTCTGTGGGAAAGGCAGGGTAAGCAGGTTTAAGATTGGCTACTTGGAATAATTTTAGCAGGCTCTGGGTGGGGTTAGGGACGTTTTCTATTTGTCTGGTACCTGGCTCTGTGATGATAAGGGCAGAAGAATATTGCCTCCTAGAGTATTAAAACCAGATACAGAAGGTGGTTCAGCAATGGGCTTTGGATTGGTTAGTTTGCATATGAAAGGCGCACTCCAGGGCAAATCATTTGCTATCTCTATGGACTGGCTAACCCTGGGAGGGCCAGTCTAATCTCAGAAGGACTCCCAAGCCGGAGCATCAAGAACATAGAAAATAAGAAAAGTATAGTTAATATACATTTGATGAGAGAAAAGAGGAAGCCAAAGGAATTTCCAGCTTGGGTAACTTTGTGGAAGTGAAACACTATTAACTTTCCAGAGAACGGAACTTTATTGAGCACTTACTCTGTGCCAGGCACGTTAATATCGTCTTAATCCTCAGAGCAAAATTTTGACACGGGGACTCTTTTTAGCTTAATTTTACAGCTGTGTTGAAGAAGTCTACCAGAACTTGTGCTCAGGCCCCTATGACATGCTCCCTCACAACTTGATTTCATATATGTTGGATTGGGGTGTCTGCAGGATACCTGGATAGAACAGTCTGGGCCACAATACCAGTAACACCCCCATTTTATTTTATTTTATTTTATTTTATTTTATTTTATTTTATTTATTTATTTTTTTATCCTCACCCGAGGATATTTTTCCATTTTTTTACAGATAGAGTGGGAGGGAGAGAGAGGAAGGGAGAGAGAGAGAGAAACATCGACGTGAAGGGACACATCCAGTGGCTGCCACCCTCACGACCAACCAAGGCCGGGGACAAACTGCAACCGAAGTACGTGCCCTTAGCGGGAACCGAACCCGGGTCTCCGGACCGCAGGCCGACGCTCTCACCGCTGAGCCAAACTGGCCAGGGCAACACCCCCATTTTAAACCATGTTCTTATTTAACAGAAACTTACACAGCATTTGCAACATCCCGATGCTGTTCTAGAAGCTTTACAAATACCAGTTTATTTACTCCCACGATGATACTTTGAGGTACATATTTAGTCTCATTTTTAATCATCACAATAGCTGCCAATGTATAGAATATACAGATGAACCATGCCCTAGACCAGCCACTCTATGTAAATCAACTTAATCCAATCATGAAAGACAAATGTGATTATCTTCCTTTTGAAGACAAAAATATATAAGGCTTAGTGGCTTATATCATTTGCCTGGTGTCAGGTGGCTCTAGGTCAGGTCAGTTCATAAATTCCAGCTTCTGTGGTGATTAAGACCATCGTCCCATTTCTCAGACCAGAAATGAAGGCTCGGCAGTTTAAATGGCTTGACCAGGGAAATAGGGCCATAAACCACCCATCCTGGATTTGTATTTCAGTATATTCGATTCTTCACTGTAATCTTTTCCCACTGTTCCTTATCCCGCTACTCTTCAAACTCTGTTCCACTGGAACTTTATTTTCAATCAGTTTCATAAATATGAGTTTCTTCCCAAGATTTCACGAGGTTGGAGGGAGCCATGGGCTGAATTGAGCCCCCTCCCCCATTTATATGTTGAAGACCTAACCCCACACCCCGGAAGGTGGCAATATTTTGAGACAGGGTTTTTAAAAGAAAATTAAGGTACATAAGGTAACATAGGTGGGCCTTCATCCAATGTGTCTGGTGTCCTTATGAAAAGAGACAATCAGGACACAGACACACAGAAGGAAGACCATGTGAAGACACAGGGAGAGAGGATGGCCGTCTGTAAGCTTAGCAGAGAGCCTGAAAAGTAACCAACCCTGCCGGCACACAGCCTTCTTGTTGCCAGAACTTCGTGGAAAAAGTAAATTTGTGTTGTTGAAGCCAGGCCGTTGGTGGTCCTTGGTTACGGCAGCCCTAGGGACTGACACAGACAGTCCGTTTCCACCACTAAGACATCAAGGGAAAGCCACAGTCCTAAGAGTTCCGCGCACTGACCAGTCTGAGTGTTTTCCTAAAATCCCTAACCCTGCAGTCAGATGACTTGCTGGGATAGCAGCCAGCTTCCTCTTGCTGTTTCTCCAGCCTCTGGTCTACAGATGTTTTTTTCTTCTTCTAACTTCCCCTCTTGAGACAAGGGACATAAATAATAGAGAAACAAAAGTGCAGACTGCTAAGGTTGCCACTCTCACTTCCTCTTGTCCCTGAAGCCAGCACTGCTTTGAATACAGTCATGGCCTGGGGCACCGCGGGAGGCAGCGAGGAGCGGTGCCCCTGAGGCTGCTGGGCGGGCGGGGCCGCGGCATGTTGTCCTGCTCTCGGAGGGCCATTTCTGGTCACGGAAAATGCCGGGATAATGCTGCTCACCCGCCTGGCAGGGGCTCTGGTCCCCGCCATGGCCTTCCTCTCCTGCCTGAGACCTGAGAGCTGGGACCCTTGCGTGCAGGTATGTGTTCAGGGTCGGTCTGTCGTCTGCGCGCTCTGTCTTGCTTCTGAAAAACTACTCTCTGCCCCAAACGGTGGGCCCTGGTTAGTTTCATTTCCAGACAGGAGTCAGATTCCCTTAAGGACTCGAGAAGCCTCCGGGACCAAAACAGTCATGGTTATAAGGCACAGGTAGCCCGGGGGATGATGTCCCAGTTAGGACGTTAGGTCAGACAGACCTGCTAACGTCACTGTTCTCTGGCTTCTGGGCTGTGTGCCCAGAACGTGAGACCAGTTCTCACGTCTGTAACAGAATTCCAGCCCTACTTCAGGAGAGAGCTGTAGGAGGCTGCTCCTGTCGCTGCTTCCTGCTGGCCGTCTGCACACTCGGCTTCCAGCAGGCACGCGGTCTTCCCAACCCAGGGGGATGTTTTCAGTCTCTTAACAGAAAGGAACGTTCTAAGTGGACTTCAGACTTCTGTATAGTCATAGTTCTATCCAAAGGGTGAAAGAAAGAGACTTTGAAACAAGGAGAGCCTAGCTGGTGTGGCTCAGCGGTTGAGCATCGACCCACGCACCAAGAAGTCCCCGGTTCGATTCCCGGTCAGGGCACATGCCCAGGTCGTGGGCCCGATCCCCAGTGGGGGGCATGCAGGAGGCGGTCAATCGATGTCCTCTCTCATGGATGTTTCTATCTCTCCTTCCCTCTCCCTTCCTCTCTCTCTAAAATCAATAAAGAAAAAAAATTTAAAAAAGAAAAACATGGAGAGACAGAAAAATAGAGAAAAAAAGAGAGCTAAAGAGAGGAAGAAATAAAGACAGAGAAAGACTTAAAATGTCAGCTAATGCAATGGTTTCTTTCTCTGGTTTTTAATCACACTCATGATTGGGCTCTCATTTCCACACCTGCTTTGGAAGCCCTCGAGCGAACCAAGAAGCCAAGAGAATGTCCTGCGATTTAGGATGTGGCAGGGTCAGAAACTCAACAAAAGGATTAGGGCATGGGGGGAATAGTGGACTTTAATACTTAACCAAGATGAATTTGTTATCTCAGAGTCCTCTGTTTTCCCAATTCCCTGCCCAGAGCCCCACACCTTGTCCTCCTCGCTGTGACTCTCGCTGTTAGCTTAATGGGAAGAGATCGTCCAATCAGGGTCGCCCCTGGATGAAGTTACACCCACTCTTGGATCCTCCCTTTCCTCAGGCTTTATATTCTCTGTCTCCCAAGCCTGCCCAGTCCCTCAGTGCCAGTCTCGGGCACGCCCTCATTGCCCCTGGCCTTGTCACTTGGGTAATGTTTAGTCTCCTGACTCCACAGCTCCCTTCCTTTAGGCCACGCTGCACACTAGTGTTTGTTGCTTATTTGTTTTCTCCCGGGGCTTGGTTCTAACAAATTGCCCTCTTTAAAAACATAACTCTCCATTGCTAAGAGGACCATTTCTGAGCGCAGGGCCTTTGCACTGGCTATTCCCTCTAGCTAGAATGTTTTCCCCCTGATCAGTGCTGCCCAATGGTATGTTTAAATAATGGACTAATGTTTAAATAATGACTTTGACTAATTAAATTAAAAACATAGTTTTTTAAAACCCGCATGTTCAAAATATTATTTAAAAATGTAATTTATACGAACTATTGAGAGATTTTCTCTGGTGACAAGTCTTTAGTATATATTTTACAGTTACTATACATCTCAGTTTAGACTATCCACATTTATCATGCTCAATAGGCTTGGGTGACTGGTGGCTACCATGCTGGACAGGGCAGCCCTAGGTATTTGCATGGCTTAATCCCTCACTTCTTTCAGATCTTTACTTAAGTGACACCTCCTCTGGGCAGTCCTCTTTGATCACCTCATGGAGAGCTCCCCAGCCCCATATTTGCCTCTAATCTTTTATGCTGCTTGATTATTTTTATAGCACACCATTATATAATATATATTTGCTTGCCCTGGCCGGTTTGGCTCAGCGGTTAGAGCGTCGGCCTGCGGTCCTGAGAGACCCGGGTTCGGTTCCCGCTAAGGGCATGTACCTCGGTTGCAGTTTGTCCCCGGCCCTGGTCGGTTGTGCGGGTGGCAGCCACTCGATGTGTCCCTTCATGTCGATGTTTCTCTCTCTCTCTCTCTTCCTCTCTCTCCCTCCCACTCTACCTGAACAAAAAATGGAAAAATGTCCTCGGGTGAGGATAAAAAAAATATATATATATATTTGCTTATGTGTTCATTTTCTTTCCCTTTGAAATAGAATCTGTAAGAGGGCAAAGTCATGGCTGGTTTTATTTATTACTGTATCTCAGTTCCTAGCACACAGTAATTGCACCATTTCAATGTATCAAATGGTTTAAAAGTAATGCCACAAGACAAAGTATGAGGACCTCCTTCTCCGGCCCTGGCTTCCCCTTGGGCTCAGGGTTTCCCCACCTCCTCCTTGAGCCGGCCGATATAGACCAGTTTTCCAGCCCTCCTTACTCACACCGCTCTCTCCTTCCCTCTCTTTCCAAGTATCTAAATCTCGCTCATCCTTCAAGACCCACCTTGAAATCTTCTCTTCCTCAAAAGCCTTCTACCATTCCTGGATGCAGAATTGATCTCCATCTTTTCTGAACCAGAGGAAATATTTTCCAAGCCTGGTTTAATGACCCTGTTCAGCAATGTGAGTTGTGCTCCTGTTTTGTTTGTTGCTTTTTTGCTCAGTCTCTCCACACCCCCCGCCTTCCCCTCAATGTCCCCACGAGCTGTCAGCCTGCTCTCTCTGAGTCTGTCTCTATTCTGCTGGTTAGTCCAGTTTGTTCATTAGATCCCACATATAAGTGAAATCATATGGTACTTGTCTCTTTTTATGTTATTGTGCTTTTCTCCCCTTTGCCCACCTCTACTCACCCCCGCCACCCCCTCCCTTGGCCTTCACCAAACTATTGTCCATGTCTCTGGGGTATGCATATGTGTTCTTTAGCTAATCCTTTCACCTTCTTTATCCAGTCACCCCCACACCCCTTGGACTTGTCTTTTTTCCAATTGGCTTATTTCACTCTTTTGACCCTCACTCTAGACTGGGAGCTCCCTGGAGTCTGGAGACACATCTCGTTGATCCAAAACACTAAATAGAAAATGCCTATGGTTGAGATTTAAACAAACCTTCATTCAACCAGTTATTCATTCACGTATTGAACCATATTCATTAAGCATCGGCCATTTTCCAGGCAGCACTGTGGGTGCTGGAGTCATTGCAGAGAGCAAGACCATCAAACCTCACAATGCAGTCAGGGAGATAAACAGTCCACAGGGCTCAGTCACATGGACAACACGTTAGATGGTGGTACATCCTATGAAGGAGGATAAGGGGTGAGAGAAGAAGGCCTGGCACCGTCCTCTATCACACAGTGTGGTCTGTGAGGCTCCAATTAAAGTAACATTTAAGCAGACATGTGAAGGAAGTAGGGCCCTGCATGTATGGCCTGTGAGACTTTCTGCATATTCTTTTATCTCTCAGAGTTCTTCTTTAAAATGTTTAGTTCAAGTTTAAAGTATATAATGTAAGGAATATGCTGACATAGAGTAAGGAATTAATAACAACTAATATTAGTAAATGGTAACATTTATTGACCATTTACACTAGGCTCTGAGATAATCTCTTTAAGTGCCTCATCTCATTTAATCCGTTTAATAAATTCCATTGGTACTGAAAACCGAAAGCCAAAATTATCTGGCTTAAGCAAGACATTTTGCTCAAGAAGCCAGAGAATTCGGAAACTAAATGGGTTTTTAGAGAACAAGGCTTACAAAGAATTTGGGAAAGTATAAGAGAAACCAACACAGAAACCAAGGCAGCATCAAGGACTTATGTTATTTACTAGGGTCCACCACTGGGGTCTGTGCACTCCAAAGATTTTTTTTTTCCCATTTCTGTATCATCTGCTCAAAGGTCAATAAGCCAAGGGAGAGAAGCAATTGGACTATGCCCAAGGAAGGTCTGGCACCTTGACTGGCAGTCTCCCCACACTGTATATAAAGGGGGATTACTTAGAAAACAAAGTCTTTCCCTAAGTCACATGGAAGAGCTGAGGTGAAACCCTAAGCTTTGGACTCCAGAGTCTCAGCTGTTCACCACTCGACTCTATTGCTTCTTGCTAAATGCTGCCAGTAGAGGTTAGAATACTGGGTTTATAGTGGGTATTTTCCCCTTCTTAATCTAGAGTAAGATATTTTGTAAGTATGAAATGAGTAGATAAATGGATAGATGGGTGGAAGGGTGGATGGGTGGATGGGTAGATGGATAGGTGGATGAGTGGATGGATGGATGGATGGATGGATGGATGGATGGATGGATGGGTAGATGGATAGGTGGATGAGAGGATGGATGGATGGATGGATGGATGGATGGATGGATGGATGGATGGATGGATGGATGGATGGGTGGATGGGTGGATGAATGTTGACTGGCCCCTGTGCTTATACTAGAGACTTCTCAGACTGTGGCCTAGGGGAGGGAAAGTTCTGTTGAAGTACATTGCAGTAGGATACTGCATCTAATGTATGTAATCATTGCAGGTGGTTCCTAACATTACTTACCAGTGCATGGATCTGAATCTCTACAAAATCCCTGATAACATCCCCACATCAACCAAAAACCTGGACTTGAGCTTTAACTCACTGAAGCGTTTAGGCAGCCATAGCTTCTCCAACTTCTCAGAACTGCAGGTGCTGGATTTATCCAGGTAATAAATGAGCTTTTAGACACTGCACAAGGTAAAATGTTCATTGTTCTGTCATTTCATTCACTGGTTCATCCATTCCATAGATGTCTTAACTTGCTATATAACTTTGGACAAGCCACCTGCCATCTCCAGTTCTCAGTTTCACACACAAAATATGTGACATGAGTAGTCAGACAAGAGACAGTACCTAAGGATATTTGAATTTTCTTTTAAGTCAGGAGAGAACATTGACTCAAACTCTTTCATCAGCAGTCATTATGGACTTCTTGCTATATGTTGTATACTCTGCTAGGAACCAAAAGTATATTGATATATAGCATTCAATCTGAGCTTTTAAGGAGGGCACATCTACTTGAAAGAGTTAATATGTTAAAATCCTGAGCATGATGCTGGGCACATAACAGACATGAAAAAAATATTACTGATTTTGATTTTGGATTTTGAACCTGACATAAGAATAGTAATATATGATAGTAGGTGATAAGCTATGTGCAAACTAGAGGCAACACATTATATATTTTTTTATCCTCACCTAAGGATATTTTTCCATTTTTTGTACAGATAGAGTGGGAGGGAGAGAGAGGAAGGGAGAGAGAGAGAGAAACATCGACGTGAAGGGACACATTGAGTGGCTGCCACCCACACGACCAACCAGGGCCGGGGACAAACTGCAACCGAAGTACGTGCCCTTAGCAGGAACCGAACCCGGGTCTCTCCAGACCGCAGGCTGACGCTCTAACCGCTGAGCCAAACTGGCCAGGGCAACACATTATATTTTTCACAAGAGGTGTCTTCTCTGCAGTGAGTAGTCAAGACAGATTTTTCTGAACTGAGTAGGATTCAAATAATGTCTGCAATATTAAAATTAAAGTAGAGGATAGGGAATTAGGAAGATACAAGTAACCCAAGGAGAACGATAGCAAGATCAAAGGAAACATCTGCTGTGGGCAGCGAACAGGAACTACGGTTTTCCTTTCAGGTGCAGGGAATATATCATTCATTAGGACAGATTAAGTTATTATCATTATTTGGGGAGGAGGAACTGAATCTTAAAATTAGTTAGGGGCCTTATTAAAAAATAACAAACTATATTTAGCTAGTGAACTCAATAATGAACCATATTCGCTGTAGCAGTTTGTGTGAAAAATAGAGAAATATTTTATATATGGCTTTTTATGATGGGAAGTCCTAATAAAGCCTAACAGCATAGTATGAAAATACTTTTCTAGAGTAGATGTTTTTGCAAAAGAGTGAGCCTCTGATGTTTCATACCCTATCTCGGACACTGACAGGGTTTAACAAAGGAAGAATGGAGCATTTTATTTTATTATTATTTTTAATATGTTTTTATTGACTTTTTTTTTAGAGAGAGAGAGGAAGGGAGGGAGAGATAGAAACATTGATGAGAGAGAGACACATTGATTGGCTGCCTCCTGCATGCCCCCAACTGGGGATTAAGCCCACAACCCAGGCATGTGCCCTGACCAGGAATCGAACCGGGACCTCTCAGTCCACGGGATGACGCTCAGCCCACTGAGCCATATAGGCCAGACAAGAATGGAACATTTGAAAGGCATTGGTGTAGTTCACAGAGCCCTGTGGGGTCAGAAGACATCAGCCAGGTCATCTGCCAACATTTGTGGCCGTGTGGCCTGAGCACATCACTTCATCTCCCTGAGTCTCGTTTCCATACTGTGAAACAGAAATAATGAAACTTACCCCACAGGGTTAATGGATGTTGACGTGCTATACATATTAAAAATCTTAATAAAGGAGACTTTATAAGTATTGAGTATTATTATTGTAGCATCTCATTACTTTCCAAACTTCAGTTTTCTCACTAAGAAACTTGTCAAGAACTGTATTGAGATAGACAGACCAACCCTCCCCATTTTTAAAACAAGAAGTAGTTTCTCATTAAACAATGTCTCTTATAATTCATCTTTGATCCATCACTCACTTAAGGAACTTCCCTCAGAGGCCTTAATATGTGCTCAGAGAGAAGCTAGCTTCCCCTCTGGTTAGCCAGTTAATTCAGGAGATTCTGAATTAGGGCTAAGGCAAACAATAGTATAATAGATATTCTTCGCCTATTCATATTGCTTTACATTCAGTAACTCAACTTCTTCTCTAAGGATGCTTTGTGATGGACCAAGAAGCCTTTTTTTCTCTATTGAAACCTAACCTACTGATATATTTTTTTCTTTTTATAGACAAGGAAACTGAGACTTGGAGAGTTTAGATGACTTATCTATGTTCATGTATCTTCTTGGCAGCAGACCTGAGATTCAAATTCACATCTCCTACTTCCAAGTTCAACGTTTTCTTCATCTTAGTACTTCTCTAAAGTGATGAGCACCCTTTGATGAGATAGAGACACAGCAAGACTCTTCTATTCTTGCCTGATGCACGGAGTGATATATATATATATATATATGATTATGGACTCTACAATCATATAACTAAAAGCAACTTGAAAAATAATAGTCTTTAGCTGCCTCACTTAGAAATGTGATAACTTAGGTCCAAAGGAGAAAAGGAGTTCCCAAGATCACGCTGTACAAAAAGACATGCAGAGACACCAGAACCCAGATTTCTTGGCCTCATCTTCCATTGTCCTTTATACTGCACCCATTAACGTCTATATGGTTACCAATCTATAATAAAAGCCTGCATTGAAATGCTTTTATTACCCATGAACCTCTGGAAGGAGACAGGGCAAGCAGGAACATTACAAATGTAATTCCTGTTGGACTAGGAAAGGACTCATTTACAAAGTGTAACTGGCCGGCACTTGCCATGCTAGCAAGAGTTGACCATTAGCTCACCGTTGGTTGTCTCTTGGACACCTCTATGAACATTGTATATAGAATGGCTTCCATTTCCCTTGGGATGTAATTCAAAATCCTTTTTCTGGTCTTACTGTAACCTCCTTTCTCCACAATCCCATCTCACACTCCTCCACTTCCCTCTCGGAACTCCAGATGCAGAAGCTGTTTCTCATGGTTCCTCTGTGTATGATGGCTGCCACCCAACTCGAGGGCTTTGTACCTGCTGTTGTGCTCACTTCCTTTTCTTCTTGTTAATCCCTATTCATTGTTCAAATCTCAACTTAAGTGTTCTCAGAGAAGCCTACTTTGACCCCTTGTTTAAGTCTGTTCCCTGGATGTAAACTCTCATAGTAGACTTTCCATCCATAAAACTCATCCCTAACATTTACCTATGATAACCACAATTTTTGGTCAACATTAAGGGTATCGATGACACTTAGGTATAATATCTTTAAAGTTGACATTCACCAGTCATTAATCCTGCCCAATAACTAACAACTATCTGTATCATCTGTACCAATCAGATGTACGATCACAATTACTGGTGGCAGGGAATGCCTAAAGTTGATCCTAGGCTATTACATACTCTGTCAGCCATATGTTCTTTATGTGCCCCAATTATTGATCTTTAACTGATTTCCTTCTGATGGATGTGCTGTCTCTGCTTAGCACGTGTACCTACTGTGATGTGGCTAGTAGGATGATACCAAAGCCACGAAGCTTCTTATTGGTTCAGGCCATCATTAGCTTTGACATCTTTGCCTTTGCACAATCATAGGGCAGGTCTAAGCTGTGGGAAGAGCTGGATGACTGGGGCTGTTGTTTTCATTTTGGGCTTTCTCTTCATCAGAAACATACAATCTGTATCTGTTTTCCCTACAGATGTGAAATTCAGATGATTGAAGATGATGCGTATCAAGGCCTAAACAATCTCTCCATCTTGATATTGACGGGAAACCCTATCCAGAGCTTAGCCCCAGGCGCCTTTTCTGGACTATCAAGTTTACAGACACTGGTGGTTGTGGAGATAAACCGAACATCTCTAGAGGACTTGCCCATTGGACACCTGCAAACCTTGAAGGAGCTCAATGTGGCTCACAATTTTATCCATTCCCTCAAGTTACCTGGATATTTTTCTAACCTGCCTAACCTGGAGCACTTGGATATTTCCAATAACAAGATCCAAAGTATTTCCCAGAAAGACTTGCAGGTTCTACATCAAATGCCCCCATTCAAACTCTCTTTAGACCTGTCCCTCAACCCTTTAGACTTTATCCAACCAGGTGCCTTTGAAAATATTAAGCTCCGTGAACTGACTTTGAGAAGTACTTTCAATAATACAGACGTCATGAAAACTTGCATTCAAGGTCTGGCCGGTTTAAAGATCAATCAGTTGGTTCTGGGAGAATTTAGAAATGAAAGGATCTTGGAAAAATTTGACAAATCTGCCCTGGAGGGACTATGCAATTTGACCATTGAAGAATTCCGGATAGCACACTTTGACGACTTCACAGAGGATGCTCTTGGCGTTTTAAATTGTTTGGCAAATGTTTCTACAATTTCTCTGGTGAGTCTGGATTTAGACAATCTAGACGGCCTGCCTAAAGTTTACAAATGGCAATACCTAAAATTGACTAATTGTAACTTTAAACATTTTCCTGAATTGGAGTTTGCTTTTCTCAAAAAGTTTGTTTTCAATGCCAACAAAGTTATGACCAGTTTTACTAAAGTTACGCTACCAATGCTTGAGTTTCTAGATCTCAGTAAAAATCACTTGAGTTTCAAGGGCTGCTGTTCTCACATTAATTTTGGGACAACCAGACTGAAACACTTAGATCTGAGCTTCAATGATATTATTACCATGGGTTCAAACTTCATGGGCTTAGAGCAACTAAAGTATCTGGATTTGCAACATTCCAGTTTGAAACAGATCAATGAGTTTTCAGTATTCCTATCACTCAAAAACCTCCGCTACCTTGATATTTCTTATACCAACACCAAAGTTGTCTTCCCGGGCATCTTCGATGGCTTGGTCAGCCTCGAAGTCTTGAAAATGGCTGGCAATTATTTTCAGAATGACTTCCTTCTAGACATCTTCACACATATGACTAATTTGACCATCCTGGACCTCTCTATGTGTCAACTAAAATCGGTAGCCCAGGGAGCATTCAGCTCACTCCTTAAGCTGCAGGTGCTAAATATGAGTCACAATAACCTCTTGTCCTTGGATATGCTTCCTTACAAAAATCTCTCCCTCCACGTTCTGGATTTTAGTTTTAATCATATAGTGGCTGCCAATGGGCAAGAACTACGACAGTTTCCAAGTAGTGTGACTTTCTTAAATCTTACTCACAATGACTTTGCTTGTGTTTGTGAACACATGAATTTCCTGCAGTGGGTCCAAGACCACAGGCACCTCTTAGAGGGAGCCGAACAAATGATGTGTGTGAAACCTTTGGACATGCAGGGCATGCCTGTGCTCAGTTTCAGAAATGCCACCTGTCAGTTGAGCAAGACTATCATTAGTGTGTCTGTTCTCTCCATACTTGTGGTATCTGTGGTGGCAATTCTGGTCTATAAGTTCTATTTCCACCTGATGCTTCTGGCTGGTTGCAAAAGGTATGGCAAAGGTGAGAGTACCTATGATGCCTTTGTCATCTACTCGAGCCATGATGAGGACTGGGTAAGGAATGAGTTGGTAAAGAACCTGGAGGAGGGGGTGCCCCCCTTTCAGCTCTGCCTTCACTACAGAGACTTTATTCCTGGTGTGGCCATCGCCGCCAACATCATCCAGGAAGGCTTCCACAAAAGCCGGAAGGTTATTGTCGTGGTGTCCCAGCACTTCATCCAGAGCCGATGGTGCATCTTTGAGTATGAGATTGCCCAGACCTGGCAGTTTCTGAGCAGTCATGCAGGCATCATCTTCATCATCCTGCAGAAGGTGGAGAAGTCCCTGCTCCGGCAGCAGGTGGAGCTGTATCGCCTTCTCAGCAGGAACACGTACCTGGAGTGGGAGGACAGTGTCCTGGGGCAGCACATCTTCTGGAGACGACTCAGAAAAGCTTTGCTGGATGGCAAACCATGGAGTCCAGAAGGAACAGCGGATGCAGAAAGCAGCCAGCATGAAGCCACAACCTCCACCTGAGGAACAGACACTCCTCAGGTGTGTCTTGCTCAGGTCGACTCAATACTTGTTCAATTAACAAGTATTAAATGCTGCAACACAGCCGGCATCACACTAGGGATGGTGATTCACTGGTACAAAAGGGACACGGGGCTGCGAACCTCTTGGAGTTGACAGTGCAGAGGGAATAAATACTGTGCTAATATAGGACCTCCAGGTGGGTGTTCCAACCAGTTCAGCTAAGATGCTCACCACACGGAAAGTCAATTCAACTCTTACCCCATGCAGCTGAATTATAACTCAGACGGTGACATCAGAAAAGGACACAACTCTTCTCTTGAGCCTTTGAATGGAAAACACTTGATATATAACATTTGGCCACCTTAAAACACCACAATTGTGGTAGTTTCAACTAAACTGGGCCTTTTCTCCTGAATATCATTTAAACTCTGTGATGAGTCAGAAGGCTTCTGATTCAGACCCTCCTCCACTCTAAGTCAGTTTCCTTACAAAGGCTGGAACCTTGCAGCAATTCCCTAAGGAAACCCGATGAACACATATTCGCAAACATCCTGGTCATTTTTTAGCATGTCCTACTTATTAGCTAATAGTTCCTGATATATTTTTGTTTTTAATAAATTCAGTTCTCATGTCACATGTCTTCTCTATGAACCGGGATCATAAACAAGGATGTCAGAGGTGTGCTGGACATATCCACATTTAACCATGATCTTTCAAGCAAATATGTAAAACGTGCTCTGTCACTTGATGTCATTACACATTTATTATCTACTATGTTGTGACTGCCATAAAGGCAACATTAAAATAACTCGGTAGAAAGTGGCACCTGTTGTAATGGGGGGAGAAGTCCGGCTTCCTGGTCTCATGATGAGCAGTCAGGGCAGGAGGAAGGGCACGAGGTGGGTGGCCTCAGGACCACAGCTCTTCTGGATGATCCCAGCCGGGGTGACGACATGGCAAGAGCTGCAGCAAAGGTTTCCTCCGTGTCCAATGAGTATTTGATGAAACACTGAATCCCCCAGGGGACTGTGACATGATTCCAAGCGGGGAGCGCACATTGCAGTTCTGCTGGGCATCACTCCGTGACCACATTTACAAAAGAGCAGATGTTCTCATTGCGAAAATACGTTCCTGAGGTTCGTGTGGGTCATGGCAGTTCTCACAAAAGCACACTCACCCAGGTTCCCCAGAAGAAAGCAGTAAGGACATTTGAAAGACACGGTTGTCAAAACCTGAACGGTGGCCCCACGCAGGGCCTGTGTATGTGGCTGAGAGTCTCAGAGTGTGTTTTGGTCGAGCATGGTGGGAGTCGCTGAACGTGCCTGGGTGTGTTTTTAGGTCTTAATGTGCTAGTGACAGTGGATGCATGTATTTGTGCACACACCTCTCCGTGTTCTTGGCTGTGTCTGTGGGATCACGTGTGCATGGATGAGAGTGATCACATAGCAAGGGGGGGGATACACACATTTGATGGGGACGTCTACAGCTGTTTTGGGTTCTGTGCCCTTGTGTTTGTATGTGATTGCTTATAGGTGAGTGCCCTGGATTCTGAGCAGCCTGCAGGTCTGTTTTTATGTGTGTCCTGGCTGTGTGAGTGTGCTCATGTTCGTATTTGAGTATGTGTTCTGCATATGTGTTTTGGTATAAGCAAATATACAAGACTGCAAGGAGGAAAATGAAAATACAATTGGAGTGGTTCCTGTCTACTCTCCCCATCAGCCCCTTCTGCCAGATGGGAATCCTGGAAATCGAGGGTGGGGGAGACAAGGATAAACGACTGCTCTGACAGGAGCAGAGGGGGTGAGAGAGGAAAGTCAGGCCTAGGCACAGGTTTCAGAACCATTTCAATTCTCCGGATTAAAGAGACATGAAGGGCAGAATAAAAGGAAATTAATATAATTAGCAAGCCTTCAGTTTGGATAACGCCCTACAAATTGGAACACGATGACACAGTGACGACCACACTTGAATCTCGTATCATCCAGGTGAAGTAGCAGACCGAGAACGAGATTCCCATTTCATGCAGGTGAAACCTGATGCTCAAGGGAGTTCGTTTATGGTCGGCGGGCCAGGGAATGGACGAGTGGCCGGACCTGCACTTGGGCCTCCGGCCTTGTCAGGGCAGCTCACTTCCCACTCCACCCCGCTGCTCACGCTTCAGGTTGGCAAACGAGAAGTGAAACCTGGCAGTTAGATGTGTGGTTGACACTTGTCAAGGGTTTTTCACCAAAATCGTGAATCATTAGGCAAATACATATGCATCTACATTATATATCCTGGGTGATTTATTTATAACACATTTCTTTTCATGAAGGGTATGAAGGAGATTCAACCATAGTAGATGCATGGGCAATACGTTTAATCAATACGAACCAGAAAACCTGGACAAAGAACCAAAAGGGGAAAGAAAGACCCCAAGAGTAAGCTTAGCATGCTGCTTCCCATTCTAACTCCAGAAAGATCATTTCAGTTCGCTGGAGAATGTGGCTACTGGAGAAAGCCAAAACTCACGTTCACTATTTCCTAGGCATGACTTGGCCTTCACTTCTCTGAGAAGCTACTTAACTCAAACATAAAAAGAGGGTGGACTATTACTCTGTAAAGCTGCTGCTAAGTGTTTAAAATAAGTGTTTAATACTAGGAACACGATCTGTATGTATGGGTGAGTAGTCCTCTGGGACTTTGTAAAGAAGCCACAGGGAGAAATACTGAGTGGTCTTTGCAATAATGGCACTTTAGCAATTGTTTTCCCAACCGGTGGGACCACAGGCGGCCTGAAACTGTCATTAGACGGTTTCTTTCCGATTTGGCCTTCACTCATGGGATTGTCAGAACCCCGGCCTCCTTCTGAATTATATCAACCTTTCTAGAAAATGCCAACAAGGTCCTAGAGGGTCTTACAGGAATGCACAAGAGTCCTCACAAGAATGGCAGAGCTCTGTGCTGACAGAGAGCATGTCTGTTGGCCTCAGCTTTTTCATCCTTGAGCTCGATAGTCCGCACAGAACAGACAGACAGCATCTGCTTATTTAAAGCATTGATGAGTAAACAAAGAGCCCTCTCTATAGGGAATGTTGGCCTCTGTGCTTCCCAGACAAGGCTCCAGATTCCCACACCACTGCAGTTTGGGGGCTCTTGATTTCCAGGGCTGTTTCTTATTCCTGTTGTCATCTGTGTGGATTTTCTCAACCATTTCCTCCATGTGGTTCCTTAACTCCAAGTATTTCAAAAGTTACTTTGCAGAAAGGCTTTGCAGAAAGGGGAAGAGGACCTCCCTTGCCATTGTTATTTATATATATATATATATATATGTATCTTTATTGTTGAATGTATTATAGATGTCCCCCTTTTTTCCCCATTGACCCCTTCCTCCATAATCCCGCCCCCCTCCTGCCTTTCTCACACTATTGTTGGTGTCCATTGGTTATGCATATATGCATAGAAGTTCTCTGGTTTATGTCATCCTGCCCTCCCTCCTCCCTTCCCTTTGAGGTTCATCAGTCTAACAATCAATTCGTACTACTTAATTCCTTCATCTTTTTCACCCAGCCCGTGCATATCTGGCAAGCAACAAAAAGTTCTCTGTATCTATGAGTCTGTTTCTGTTCTGTTTGCTCATTCTGTTTATAGATTTAATTGTTGATAGTTATGTATTAATTGCCATTTTATTGTTTATATTTTTGTTCTTCTCCTCCTTCAAGAAAATCCTTCAACATTTCATATAATTCTGGTTTGGTAGTGATGGACTCCTTTAGCTTTTTCTTGTCTGGGAAACTCTTTATATGTCTATCAATTCTAAATGATAGCTTTGCAGGATAGAGTAGTCATAGTTGTAGGTCATTGCTTTTCATCACCTTGAATATCTCTTGCCACTCCTTTCTGGCCTGCAAAGTTTCTTTTGCAAAATCAGCTGACAGTATTATGGGGGCTCCTTTGTAGGTAACAAACTGCTTTTCTCTTGCTGCTTTTAAGATTCTCTCTTTGACTTTAACCTTTGGCATGTTGATGATGATGTGTCTTGGTGTGGACTGCTTTGGGTTCATCTTGTTTGGGACTCTGTGCTTCCTGGATGTGTATGTCTGTTTCCTTCACTAAGTTAGGGAAGTTTTCTGTCATTATTTTTTCAAATAGGTTTTCAATTTCTTGTTCTCTCTCTCCTTCTTCTGGCACTCTCATGATGCAAATGTTGGCATGCTCGAAGTTGTCCCAGAGGCTCCTTACACTATCCTCATTTTTTTGGATTCTTTTTTCTTTTTGCTGTTTTGATTGGGTGTTTTTTGTTTCCTTCTATTCCAAATCAATGGTTTGCTTTATATTTAATGGTTATTTTTAGGTCATGTGCTCCTGCTTTCTGTATGACATCTAACTTAAATTTCTACACCAAGCCTATGAGACTAATAATACCAGGTGACCATCCATTAGGAAACGGAGGCTCTGGGGCTGGAAGCAACCTACTCAAAGTCACACAGGTGGTAAAAGGCAGAGCTGGCCTTTACACCCACGCTCGAATATTAGAAGCCAACTATGCTACATGGTTTCTCTAATGCCTTCTCCCTGTTTCACATACAGATTGGAATGTTGCTGCTTTCTGTTTTATTTTCTCATTGTTGTAGCCAGGGCTCAATGCTGGAACCAGGTGTGATGGTTAAACCAAAAAATGAATGTCAGGCTGAAGAATGAGCTGTGTAAGAGACATTGGGTACTTGCAACCATCCGTTTCCTCCGACAAGGACGGCCTAGGCCTCTCCTGCTTCAGCTCTTTTTACTGATGGAGTAAATTCGTGTCCATGAGGCTCCAACGCAAATAGGTCCATCCAGACAGGCCCAGCTATTTCCATATTTACAGCAATGACCCACCACTCTTCCCTCAGAGATCCTTTCTGACAAGTGGTTTTACATAAGCCTCTTCCTTTCAATGCCTTCATTAAATGGCAATGATGTGACAGTGGAAATAAACTCAATAAGGAGGCTTAGCTGATAGTCTGAGTACACCAACTTGATCACCTTGATGCAGGATTCAAGTTGAACTGTGTGGAGGAGGAGCGACACAGCCTGCCCCTTGGACTGCGTTTCCCACTGCAGGATTATTCTCCCTTCTTTTCTCCGCACTAAATGAGAGGACCCAGGTAACTGAGAGTTTGGGACTTCGAATTTCAGCCGAGTACCTAGAATTCCAATAATCTATTTTTGTAGTTAAGGAAGAATGTAGATGACTTGAAAATTAGGAGTGGCTGGATAGTTTGCTTTCATTTTCTTCCCATGGAATATTCTAGTCATTGTTACTAAATGTAAGGGGTACAGATTTTTTACAATTCTATATGGACTTTTATGTACGTGCTGGTCTAGCAGATGCACATAGCAGACTTGGATTTGAATTCTAGTTCTTCCACACATCACAATAGAATTTTAGACAAGTTCCTTAATCTCTCTGATTTTAGTTTGATTTCCTGGATAGAGAGGCTGAATCTCTCCTGTCCTACAAGGAAACTATACAGATAAAATCGAGAGTGGAGGAGAGACACAGCACAGCTCTAAACTCTCCTGTTTGAAGGGGCTGCCTGAAGAACAGGATGAGTGGACATAGAGACCTAGAATCCTGAAAGTCTCTAAGGTAGGAGGTCTTGTAGCTGTAGTCAAAGTCAGGGATTCAACTTCCAAGGAGGGAGAATGGAAAGAGAAGGCAGGGTCCCTGATCTGAAACATACTGAACGACCAGATGCTGCTGTTAGAATTTACAAAGGGGAAAAGCCATACTCTCTTCATTTATAATGGAGCAGAGCACTGACTGGCTCAGTTCAGTGGTTGGAGCGTCAACCTGTGGACCAAAGAGTCTCAGGTTCGATTCTGGTCAAGGGCACATCCCTCAGTTGTGGTTCGGTCCTCGGCCCCAGTAGGGGGTCAAGCAGGAGGCAACCAATCGGTGTGTCCATTTCACATAGATCTCTCTTTCTCCTTCTCTCCCTTCCAGTCTATCTGAACATAAATGGAAAAATATCCTTGGATGAGGATTAAAAATATATATAAAATGGAGCAGAATCCTGGTGCAGTGGGCAGTGAACTTCCTGGGAGGGTGGAAACCGAGATCTGGCCCAGGCTCCATCTACTTTTGGAGTGATCATGGGAAAGTCATTCAATGACTTGAGTTGTTACCTTTCACTGAGCAATCATTGTGTGCAAGACCTTTATACATGCTATCTCATTTACTTTGTCACATCAATGAATTAGGAAACAGCAATTATTTCCAATTTACAGACAAGGAGATTGACACATGGAGACACTATCATGTGTGGAGACATTCTATAACCTCCAAATAAGGGGCAGCTCTGCGGGGAGGGTGCAAGGCCACTGACCTTCTTCGCCAGCGCTGTTAAACACTGCACCCCGCCAGGGCACCCTTCTCCCACAAACGCATACAACCTTCTAACTCACCAACAGAACTTTGACTGATAGCAGCCAAAGGTAACTATTACTCTTGTCACTTACTGGTATTACTACCACTGTCACACGAGTCTTGGCAAAAGTAAATCAAAGATACATGTGAATAAAGGTTTTTTAGCAACGGACACGTCAGGCCCACTTTCTGTGAGCAACATGCTTAGGTCGCTGTACGTTTCTCTGGTCTACGTGACTTCCTGATGGAAATCACAGTCCTGTGATTGAGCACAGAGGTTATGGGGGAAGTTCCAGAAGCTGAGGACTCTTCAGGGGTGGGAATAAGTTCACATATTCTGGGCTCCGTGACGGAGATCACTAAGTTTTCCAGATCAAAGTGAAAACTGTGGAATAAGCAGTGGATCAAAAGGAACCCAATCCATAGAGCACTGTGTGTACTTATCTAATGGCTTCCTTTACCCTGTGGGTGAGGTACCAGTTTCCTCATTTTAACAGTGAGGATGTGGATGCCCAGAGTGGATGAATAACTTGCGGCAGGTCACACGGCTTATATGTATTCATCACCATAATATTTGCTAAGCTTTTGGTACATGCCCCGGACTGCTCTAATCTGTGCATTCATTACTTTTTAAAATTAAATGGACAATGCCCAGCTGGTGTGGCTCAGTGGTTGAGCGATGACCCACGCACCAGGAAGTCGCCAGTTTGATTCCCGGTCAGGGCACATGCCCAGGTTGTGGGCCCGATCCCCAGTGGGGGACATGCAGGAGGCAGTCAATTGATGTTCTCTCTCATCAATGTTTCTATCTCTCTCTCCCTTAAAGATCAACAAAGAAAAAATATATTTTTAATTAAATGGGCAAGTATTGGCAGCTGTGCCATTTCTCGGATGAAGAAACTGAGAGGCAAAGAGTAAAATCCCTGGTTGGAGGAGAGAGTATTAGGGTGAGAAGCCACGTTGGCCTGATTCCTGGGGCTCCATTCTTTCCCCCACGTAACAGCAGCGTGGTGTCCTGGGCTGTTCTGCCAGGGGTGCAGAGGAGTGACTGGAAAATGATCTCGACAAGGTCAGTAACTCCCATGCCATTTAGAAATTGAAAGTTTAAAAGGCAATGTCTGCTACTCTCCTTGATTTCTGCAGAAACAGAGATGATACCGCCCTGTGACAGGGCTAAGTGACAATTCTGAGTGTAAATGGGCATTTTGGCACAAATTGTCCTGTCCTAATAGTCTTGATGATAATTATAAAATAATGGGTTTCTGAAAGGCTGAGAGCAGTTCTGGGAATGGCAATAATGGTTTAGAAACGGCATGTTTATGCGAGAAGTGTTTTTGTTGAACATTAAACTCACGTTTAGAAGAATTGTGTTGCATGCTCGTAAGAAACTATGTCACTATTAAATCAAAACCAGTCAGCTGCCAATTTGGGTTCTTGTCTCTCACTAACAACACCCCATCCAAACAGGACTGATCTACCGTAACCCGGCCTGGTGCTCAGCCGCGCTTCCCCAGAACTGCTCCCTGCACCCCCCCAGGGTCCTGCTAGGAGATGTGGTCATGCAGCCCAAGTTCTTCCTGGAACTCAGTCTAATCTTTCTCTTCAGACTCTTTCTTGGTGGTTTTCCTACTTTCACAAAAAGGAATGAACAGTCTTCCTATTTAAGGGATATTTAAAGAATTTCCTGGGAGGCACTATATAGCAAAAG